CCAACCCCGGGCCTGGCTCCAGGGTGGGGCCCCGGCTGCGCCATGCCGGGCGACGTCACGGTCCTTGATTTTAATCTATTCATAAAGGGCTTTTATATCATAGCATACACAGGAAATGGCTGCAACCTCTCTTTCCTAGATTGCAGCCTAAAGCTTTATCGTCGCTCTCTTCTCAAAATAATTTTACTGTGTAAATCTTTTCCCTTTGTGATAATTTGAAGTAGATTTTTTTTTAAAGCATCTCATTGATTTTATGTATGCAAACTCTCTGTTCTTTCCCCCCCCCCCAGTCTTTGGTCTAATGGGATGTTCTTGCATTTGAACCATTATGTGATATTCATGAGACGCTGAACCCCAAGTACGATTAAATCTACGCAATCTAGTCCAATTAAAGGGTCATTAAAACACCAAAGTTATGCTATTTGATTTGTTTGATTTTTTTTTTTTTTTTTTTTTTTTTAATGTTTTGTCTCTCTCCTCTCAGATGGGTTACACCCCTCTGCATGTAGCGTGTCACTATGGCAACATCAAGATGGTGAAGTTCCTCCTGCAGCAACAGGCCAATGTTAACAGCAAAACAAGGGTGAGTGCTTCTCTCTGGTTATGGATAAAATTTCAACAGAATTATCCCAGGAATGAGTCACAGAGCTACACTGTGTCTGCCATCTTTGTCTCCTTCATCAGTAAATACACAGTTAAAAACACAGATCATGACTGCAGCAGGGTTTTCCCAGCTGTTAGCACTGAGCTTTGTACAAAATGGTTTATTGGGATGACACCATTTTATGCCTTTAAGTGTAATGTTACAAGCATGTGAAGCAAAGACTGGACCTGTTTCTTTTCCAACTATGAGACATGAATGCATAGCTTTTTTGCACACAGGGAAGGTGGGAGTAACTTTGTTTGAAAACCGGACTCATTGTTAGTTCCAAGAAGAGTTCCAGTAATTGTTGCAGTTTAAAATTGGTGCTTGTTTAGTTATATCATGATACAATACATGCACAAATGTGTTGTAGTTAGAAGTACAGTTTATGCCAGAAAGGTTAGTTCTAACTAATGATTGTTTTCATTGATATGTAATCTACTCATTGTTTTCTTGATTAAACAGTCTGACATTTGGTCTGTAAAGGTAGTAGAAACTTCCAAAAGTTCCAAAATTGGCATATTGTAATGATTTGTTTTGTCTTGTCTTTTGTCTCTCATCCAGCTTGGTTACACTCCTCTGCACCAGGCAGCCCAGCAGGGACACACAGACATTGTGACACTGTTACTGAAGCATGGAGCCCAGCCCAACGAGACCACTACAGTAAGCATGAATATGAATATACCTGGTATTCCATTAAACTCACTAAAAGGCGGGGTTTTTTTAAACTGATCTGATCCATCTGCTCCTCTCTGTGTGCTAGAATGGTACTTCAGCCCTGGCTATTGCTAAGAGGTTGGGATACATCTCTGTGATTGATGTCCTTAAGCTTGTCACTGAGGAGACGGTTTCCATGGTGAGAACTTTAGAAACACTACTATGGCCTGCTGGATACAGTGCTGGCATTATTTGACCATGATAATCACATATTAAAAATTCAAGTTCAAAACTTCTTACTGTTATATCTGTAACTGGTTCTCCCTCCTCTGTCTGTGCCCTGCAGACGACTACAGAGAAACATCGTATGAGTTTCCCAGAAACAGTAGATGAGATACTAGACGTGTCTGAAGATGAAGGTAAAACACTATTGTCATTATTGATCATATAAAACAGGTGACCACTGTGTAATGGACTAAGGTGATGTAATGATGTTTGAACTGGTCACATAAATATAATTTTTTAAAATTCCTTTTTACCTTTGCCCTTTTTTAGGAATTGCACAGCTAACATTAGGTATGAATGTCTCTTTCTTTCTTTGTGCAGCACTCATAGGTCATTGCAATAAAGTCTGTGGCTCCATTTCAAGCTTACTCTTCGTCTTTCTCTTTCACACTGTCCCTCTGTAGTGGTGCTCACTGTGACGGTGGCCCTGGTGTTTCATTGGCATGCACCTGTAGCACCCATGTCTGTAACCTTGATATGTCCTTCAGTAATACCCTCATTCTCTAACTCCCCAGGTGTCTCTTTTCCTCCATTTGCCCTGTTACGATATCCCATAATACTTTGCGCCCAGGTTCCGGTGTAGAGCGTATAGCAGATATTTAGGAGAAAACAGCAACATCTTGTTGGGTGTAAACTTAAGTATAGGTGAAATTTCTGTACTGCTCTGGAAAAATAAGGCTCACAATATTAAAAGGTCTCATTACACTTTGCCATTAAATGACCTAAAATGCCTCAAACTTTGGATGAAGGCAATCCCCCGAGCACCCTGGCACCTCCCCAAATGATCTAGCAGAATATGTTCTAACTATTTTAAAGGAGATATAGTATTTTTCTGATAACAATGCATATGTACAGAAATAATACTACATTTTTAATGTTAAGTTATGATAGGTGAAATACAGTATATACAAGTTGTCTGAGTGTACAGCAGCATGAAAATCGAGGCTCTATGTTAACAGTATTCTGTAGCATACCTGTAGTCAAGCTATGTCGAGTTTAAAATAATAGAGTGATGCCTTTGTTCTATTATGATCCTAATAATTTAATAAAAACCATTTAATTTAAACAGAAAGGCAACAGTCAATACTCAGTTTTGCTATTCTCCAAACTAATATTATTAACAGTGCAGAATTCAGTGAAGCATTTTGCCGAGAGCTTGTACGTCCTGTATCAAAAGGTGAAATAAATCAAAGATTATTCTCAATCTAAGCCAGGTGTCCTTGGGGTTCAGCCTTAAATGTCTTTAACCACTGACTATAACAGTGTTCTTCATATGTCTATATAAACCGGACTGACAAAGGAAAATCCATTAGTAAGCTAATGTCAGCCTCATAGAGTTAGTGTGCAGATAATGCACACTCATTCTCATTCTCTGTTTTATCGTACTAAGGTTGACATTGACCAAAGAGTTCACTTGCATTATGAATGAGCTTTTTATACCATAGTCTTTGAATCATATCCAAGCCTGAGATCTGCACTTGCGCTCCAACCGGAACCTTAAGTGGGCTTGTTTTTTAGGATTGGAACCTCCGGAATGTTATGGCAGCAATCCTTTTTTTAACAGTTGTATTTACTTTCAATACAAGTTGTAACACACCCCTTCAAGTAACTAAGCCATTGTTATTACTATCAAATTAATTGAATATTTGGTTAAAAATTAAAACGTGCTCTGTGAGCTCCAGCAATTCATATTTGGAGGTGCACCTTGTTGTTCACACAGAATTATTGCCTGATTTCAACAGTTACCCTCAGCGCTAGCTCTCAGGCTTACAGTGACTTTCAGACACTGAGCCAGATATTCCCCCCAAGAGTTTGTGGACAGTGAAAACAGAGCTAAAAGGAGAGGGAATATTGGAATTGTGTAAGATGCAAAGAAATGTGTCACCAAATAAATGTTGTTTCTTTGTATTTACTGGATTTGTAAATAAGTAACTGATTGCTATCAAGTCAGCAGTCACAGCTTGTTTTCTGCTTCCCTCAAGTAGCCAAAAATTGCAGGTAACTTTAAATACCTCAAATTAACAACACCGCTGTCAGTGATGTCAGAGGACATTATGCCTTGCTGTTTTAGTCCCCTGGTAATTTAACTGACAGACTGAAGCTGCAGTCTGAAAGGCCCATGTCACATCTGGAATCTTAAAATGAAACCCTGAACATAAGCTGACACATGAGCCTGTGGGACCCACAGAGTCAGACATAGTGTAATGGCACCTACAGTACAAAATCACTTTGCCTTTGGAGTGTACAGCCCCCCACTCACACAAGCTGTGCTTATACGGTAACAAAATCATACACACGGAATATTCACTTTAGTTGCTGGTGAAATCCAAGAAATTCAATTCAATTCAGTTTTATTTGTATAGCGCCAAATCACAACAAAAGTCATCTCAGGACACTTTACAAAGTAAGGTATAGACCTTACTATTATTAATATTATAGAGGAAAAACCCAACAAATCCCCCTTGAGCAAGCACTTGGTGACAGCAGGGAGGAAAAACTCCTTTTAATGGAAGAAAGGCCATCACTAACTTCCTGTCCTCAGAGCCTATATTTTAAATCTTTGTCATTCTACTGAAGTGGCTATAGCTCATGTTTTGCCCTTGACTGGTCAGTGTACAGAATGTCTTCATTAATGTCTCATCTCACCAGTCTAACCCCTAAAACACAGTGCCATTGCCTAAACCCTGGGTTGTCATGTTGTCTAACCCTTCTAACCACTGGCTTATTCTTTTCTTTCTTTTCTCTCTTGTGCCGTTTCCTCAACCTGACCACCATATGTTCGCTCTCTTTGGCATGTTGTTCTCTGAAGGAGAGGAGCTCTTGGGGACAGAAGGGGCCAGGTACTTGAAGATGGATGGCATGAAAGACCATGATGACGATTTCCTCTCCCCCAAGAAATCACTGGAGTACGAGAGAGGGCTGGGCACAGCGTAAGGGGGGCTGGGCTGGGAAGAAGGGGGGAGAGCCAAGCTAGTAGCCACATGCTCATAGGTGGATGGATAGAGGGGGATACACCCTAGACACTCACAAAACACTAGGGATGAGCGCTTGGGAGGAGGTGAGATGTAGAGACACCTTCTTTAATTGGATTTGTTTCTTTTCATACCACAGGAATTACTCACCAGCCATTCCCAGGATACCTCGTGTCTCTCCAGAGACCATCATGCTGAAAGAGCACGAGATAGATCAGGTACTGTATAAAGCTGTTTGACTAAGAAGATTAAAGGAGTATGCCAGCAATTTAGTACTGTACTTCCATAGCTTTAGGGAACTTGAAAGAGACTTTTAAAAACAAATGTTCAAAATTAAGGCAACATATGCCAGGATACCAGACTTTTATTCCCTAGTAAATGGCGAAAATCCAAAACCACTAGATCTTTAATTTTTCCATAATGCAACTCAGTAGCATCTTTTATCAGATCTGTGATGTAACCACAGTTTGATTAGACTTTTAGGTGACTTTCTGTTTTAGTTTCACTCTTTTCTGTAACTTGACATTAATATAACTGAAGAATTTCTCTTCTGTGGTGTTTTGAAGGTCAATGCTGTATCTTCTGCATATCCCTGTACAAATAGCACTTTAAAAGCCCTAACCTTCCATCATAGCCGTATTTATATCCTGTGATAGTGCACATAAGTGATAGACTTTTGGGCTTATGCTAAACAGTGTTCTTTTGAGAACAGTTTGTCTTTCTGTTTCTTATAGCAGCACACTCCACTTCCACTGCCCAAAGAATATGATGAGGACTCACTGATTCCGAGCAGTCCAGCAACTGAGACATCTGATAATGTCAGCCCAGTTGCAAGTCCCATACACACAGGGTCAGCACAGCAATATAACATCAAGAAGCCTTTTATTTCACTTACTGTCTAATTACTGTCTGATCTGGCAGCTCATTTTCACAATCCTTGTCCAACAACAGGTTCTTGGTCAGTTTTATGGTGGATGCTCGTGGTGGCTCAATGCGAGGCAGCAGGCACAATGGTCTGCGTGTCATCATACCTCCACGGACCTGTGCGGCCCCCACCCGCATCACCTGCCGCTTGGTGAAGCCGCAGAAACTGACAAGCCCCCCTCCACTGGTGGAGGGAGAAGGGCTGGCCAGCAGAATCATCTCTCTGGGTCCAGCTGGCATGCAGTTCCTGGGGTAGGGAACTCAAGGCGGACCAAACAGTTCAGGGACTATCCCACTAGAGAGCTCCCCCAGGAACTACACACCTTTACAGGCTTTTTTCTGTTTGCTATTGCACTGCAAGTAGGAACCACTGACTGTATATAAAAGATGGATAAACCCACCGTGACGTCACCCATTGGTTTTCTGGAGAGCAGTTTTGAAGCTCAAGCCTGGCCATCGCCACCTTGGTGGTGCTTCACTCTGCCTGCTATGGCTAATCCAAAACTGGGCAAAGAGCTGGAGCATGAGTAGAGCTCACTAGACAGCTAGCAGTTAGCCACCCATGATGGGTCCTTCCCACCTGTCACTTAAAGTGGCCATTCCCTGAATTATGCATAACTTTTAATCCCAGTATAGTTAAAACGGGTGAGTTATTTAAAAAATTAAAAAAAATTAAAAAAAACTCACCCTCATTACACTTGTCATGTAAAGACAAATTGGCTAAAGAGACCAAAACCAGCCTTTAAATGTTTATTTCTGCTGTAAAAGTTGGGCATTTTAACATGGGAGTCTATGGGGATTGACTCCCTTTTGGAGCCAGCCTCAAGTGACTGTTCAAGGAACTGCAGGTTTTAACACTTCTGCCTTGGCTTCATTTCTCAGCCTTGGAGGTTGCAGCTTGATAGGGACGCTGAAGTGATGTAACACTAAGCAGGCTGACTGTTAGCGATTAGCCAACAAGTTCACAATAGTTAACACATAGTAACATTACATTACCAGCAAGTTGTATGTTGCTAACTTTAATTATATAAGGAGCTACTAACTCTCTGCAGCGGCTTATGTTGGTGGACTGCAGCTAAAATTGACAATAATACTGCTGCAGTCCATGTAGATGTACATCATTCATGGCTCCTCTTGGCTTGGAGAGTACCTGCCCTGAAGTAGGAGCTAAAATAGTCCCTCAAAACAGCGTTCTAAGAACTATTATCATTCTCAGTTCCTCCGGTGTGGACACACAAAAAAGAGGGTAGTTCTTCCAGTAGTACTAAGAACTATTAAAGTTATTATTAAGTTCCTCCAATCCAAAAGCATGTTAAGTTTTTGTATTCTCCTTTAAATGTTATTTTTATTTATGTTTTGAGATGTTTGTTGTTTAAATTGCTTACTGTTTCACTTTGTAAACCCTGTTTTAGGAGGTTGGTCTATAAATATAGTTTATTACTATTATAATACTCAGCAAATATGACACTGGTGTTTTTTGTAGTTCCTACAGTACAAGCTCAAGTGTAATGTGTAGTCTGCACACTGATAAAAGTAGTACTCTTTACTATGTTTGCCTTGCTCATGGCATTGCAGACCGGTGATAGTGGAGATCCCTCACTTTGCTGCTCTGGGTCATGGTGACCGGGAGCTTGTGGTGCTGAGGAGTGAGAACGGCTCCGTCTGGAAAGAACATCGCAATCGCTATGGTGATGAAGTGCTGGAAACAATCCTCAATGGGATGGATGAGGGTAAGAGTTTAAACACTTGATCTCAGGCTACCACCCAAGCATGTCACAGCTTAAGGACTGTAACCTTCTCTTCTCAACCCAGACTTAGAAAGTCAAGAGGAACTCTGTAAGAAGCGAATCCACCGCATCATCTCTACAGACTTCCCCCTTTATTTTGCTGTTGTTTCCCGCGTCCAGCAAGAGAGTGACCTCGTCGGTCCAGAGGGAGGTTCGCTGATGAGTAAACTGGTGCCCATGGTCCAGGCAACGTTTCCTGAAACAGCAGTTACCAAACGAGTCCGCCTGGGGCTGCAGGTGAGATGGGACGATGAGGAGAAGGAAGGAGAAGACAGTCTTTGATTAATGTTGGAATGTACTGATCATATCAGTTCTTGTGCCGAGTTATCCTGATTTAATTTTTGTTTTTTTTTATTTTGCTTTTAACATTTTAGAGGACCTTTTTGTCTTTTATTGAACACAGGACATGCACATGACATCTTCATACAACTATGAACTGCTCATTTAGTGCTGTTTTGTTATTGCCTTTATCTTCAGTTATGCCTGTCTGACTTATGTATGTATATCACCAACAAAACCCTGTATTTAGATTATTTAACACACTAATTTGAGAAAATTACATCATTTCATTGGAATTTTTGTGTTCCTACATGCTTCTTCTGTATTTTCTTATCTTTAGGTTTTCACAAACACACCAAAGACATGAAAAATTATTTTTTAGCATATTTAGTTATTTATAAAAACTAAGTCAACATACACTAGTTATACAAATCTTATGAAAAGGGCATTTCTTAAACTCAGATTTTTCAGAAAACCTATTTTGGCACAGTACTTTTCATTTAACCAGTTTGTTTGCTTTCATTTACATAAAGTGCCACATTTTCTTCCTTCATAATTCTTTGCAGTGTTTGATAAATCAGTATAAACTGTTTGCTCAGATTTGCTGATTTTGTGATTTCAAGTTTCCATTTGCATGTGATTTCATTCTGACAGGTTACACAGTATACCCACTGTATAAATCTGTTTAACAGTGTGTGATTTTGTTCCAACTCAAGACTCTGATTGTATTAATTCCTATTTCTAACAAACTTAAAGAAATCCAATTCAAAACTCATTATGAATATATAGATCAGCAACTAATTGCAATATCCGAATGTGTCTCAGTACAGTATGGAGGAACCTTCCACTATGTCCTGTAAACACATGAATGAATTGATGATAATCAAAACATATTCTGCAACCTCTAAGCTGAAAATAGTGAAAGTAATTGAATGTAAGTGAAAGAGACATTATATTTAACTTATACAATAGAATTTTAATTACTTCATAATTTAGTAACATCTATTTAATCTGAATGTTGCTGTAGTAATCATGTCATGAATGGCCTTGTGAAAAACCACAGTGCCTTTGTGTTTGATATCCATTTTGTATTAATGATTGTAAAAGCTTCATCACTGTTACATTTCACAATAAAAAAAATTATTAAGTCCAATAACCATTTTGTTTTGTCTTTCCAAATGTATTGTTTAAACCATGGAGCTGTTTATTCACAGCAGCCTTTTCTTTCTCTTTGTCTTCATCTTTTTCTTCTTTAATGTTTCCCTGTTTGGTTGTTTTTTCTTTTACCATTTATCCTTATCTATTGCCCTGTCATCAACCTCCCGTTACCTCATGCTACCAATTATCTTGTTTTCTCAAAACCTTATTTTAAATCTTCATTGCTTGGTCATATGTTTCTTCATCTTCTGTCATATTTCTCTTTTGGTCCACCACATCATCGAACCTGTGCCCATGTTATATACCCACTCTCCACATCATTTACTTTTAATCTCAGGCTCAGCCAGTTTCAGATGAGCTGGTTGCAAAACTTCTGGGTAACCAAGCAAACTTTAGCCCTGTGGTCACTGTGGAGCCTCGACGGCGCAAGTTTCACCGACCCATCGGCCTCCGTATCCCCCTGCCCCCGTCCTGGAGGGAGAGCCCCCGAGACTCTGGGGAGGGCGACACCACCAGTCTACGTCTGCTTTGCTCTGTCATAGGTACTACATGCCATGACTGGTGTGTGTGTGTGTGTGTGTGGGTAAGTGTGTGTTTGAGTTGACAGGAGCAGGTTCCTTCCATGGCACAAAGGTTTCTGGGGTAAAATCGATGACTTGCAGCTGTGAAAGATCTTCGTGGCATAGCTGGATGAAAAAGTTTTTGTTCTTATTTTGTACCAGCACTGACAAGTTTCTTGGTGACCTTTGATTAGGGCACAGTAATCAGTTTTCTCTTTCTCATCCTGAACAATTCCAAGGTGGCACAGCCCCAGCCCAATGGGAGGACATTACTGGCACCACCAAGCTCATCTATACTAATGACTGTGCCAGTTTTACAACCAATGTTTCAGCACGGTAAGTTCAGTTGGCAAGCAGCTCAACTGTGGTCATAAAAGTCAAAGAACAGACAGATTTATGTGCAATACTGTGATTTCCTGTCATCATTTCCGTTCAGATTCTGGCTTGCAGACTGTCCCCGGACAGCTGAGGCCGTCTCTTTTGCCAACCTGCTCTACAGAGAACTATCAGCTGTTCCCTACATGGCCAAGTTTGTGGTGTTTGCAAAGATGAATGAGCTGCGCGAGGGCCGCCTGCGCTGCTACTGCATGACGGACGATAAGATGGATAAAACCCTGGAGCAACATGAGAACTTCACAGAGGTGGCACGCAGCAGAGACATAGAGGTCAGTTTGCAGATGAGCAGAGTTGGACCAGATTATTTGAAATGCAGTCAGTAACTGAGTACAAATTACATGGCAATATGTGTAATCGGTAACATTAGTTTAGAAAAGAAGTGTAATCTAATTTGAGTACTTGGATTACTTTTGGATTGATTATTTCAAAATTAAAGATGGAAAATATTGCACTTTTTACTAAAAAGAAGTGACACAGGCACACATTTTTTATTTCAAAATGTGTGTTTTTCCACAAAACACCTTTTGCTTTAGTTTTCTGAAAACCTTTTCAATGCAATTTATTTCTTAATCAAAAGCCACAGGAAGCAGTTTGCTATTGTTGCGCAATAGGAGCTCTTGTTCAAAATGTTAACGTGTTTAGCGGTTCCTCCTGGGGTTAAGGGTAAGGATAAGGATCTTACCAGTCCTCCTCTTGTACTAGCATATGTGCTGTGCAACCTGTGCTGCCCTGCTACAGATTCCAACCTGTTTTTACATACAAGGTGAATAAACCACTGAACTGGATTCACGTGCCTTGCAATTTACTGTTGGAAAACACACTGCAGAAGAACAAACAGGGTTAATGTCAACACCATTCTTTTCCCACCACAGAGTGGCACACTTGTCTAAAAAATCCCTGTAAACCAGACTCGTCTTTCATGAGCTAATAGCATTGATTATCATAGAAGAACTTTCATAATCTTAAAATCACCATAATTTAAAGATGTAGCCTATTCAAAAAGTAATCAAGTAATCCTTGACATTGTAATTGTAATTTAACTATGCAGTTTTTCAAATGTAATCTGGGCTGATTATAGTTACTTATTTTTTGTAATGTCAGTTACATGTAATCTGTGACTACCCAACCCTGGAGACAAGGTTCAGTGCATCATACTGATGTGGTAAAACTGTAGTTTTTTATTTATTTATTTTTTGGGTCAAGTATTTTTAAATTAAGTACTCAAAACCACAGTCAAACACCTTCAGCTCATTACTTGAGGTTTGTTGGCTATGATGACAGGAAACACAGGTGCTGTTTCTCACAGGTTCATTCCACCTGTCTTGTCTTACAGGTGATGGAGGGAATGCCACTTCACCTGGAGTGTTCAGGGAATCTTGTACCAGTGAGGAAGGCCACCCAACAGCCTCGCTGCTTCAGCTTCCAGGCCTTCAGAGATAACAGACTTCCTGTATCTGTTAAGGTATTTGGCTTTCTCATACAAATCTTATTTCACCCGCTCTATCTCCCTTCTGCTTATGTTTGTGTCTTCACTGCTCTCCCTGTGTCTGTGTGTCTAAGGTAAGAGACGGTAGCAAAGAGCCCACTGGATTTCTGTCTTTCTTACGCAAGTCCACCAAGTATGAGGACAGCCAACACGTGCTCTGTAACCTCAACATTACTATGCCTCCATGTATCAAGGTACAGCTCTTGACATACACGGACTGTATGGTGTATTCAATCATTTTCAGTATGTATGACTTCTGTGGTGTTTGCTTATAACTGGCAGATTGTTGGGAGTGAAGACCGGAGGCGAACTCTGACTCCACTGGCTTTAAGAGAAAGATACAGCGCCCTAAATGAACCTGCAATGGGTATCAGGCTCTCACTCTCACACTTGCAAATGATTGTATCTTCCCATTTTCTTATAATGATTAAATAAAATGTACAGACTTAGATATTAAAGTTTCAGTTGTTCCCTGGTTTCTGAAGCATCGATGAGTGCCATGGAGAGGACTGAGCTGAAGATGGCAGTGATTGCTGAACAGCTGGGACTGAGCTGGGCTGGTAATTGAACATAAATATACAGAATTTGTACTTGCGTGCTGTAAACCATCCATGTTTACCGTATGCCTGACAAGCTTGCCTAGCTTGCTACTGATGAATCAAAGCTATAAAATGGAAACTAGCCAATGAAGTTGTTTTCTGTTTTCTGCCAAGAACCATGGCTGTTTTACAGAATGATTACTCTTCCTCTTCTAGATAGAGCTACTGTGAAGCAGTGTGCCACTGCACCAAGTCTGTGTATGCTGCAACAGCATGACTCGTAGGCTAAATAATATAAATATTTCCCTTGCTTTTTTGATCTTCTCGTTCCCATTTTCTAAACAGAGTTGGCACGCGAGCTTCAGCTCAGTGTGGATGACATCAATAAGATCCGTGTGGAGAATCCAAACTCCCTGCTGGACCAGAGCTCGGCACTGCTCAATCTGTGGGCAACACGTGAGGGCAAGAGGGCCAAGAGTGAGTATATGAGATCTGAGATTGCTAGGTATATCTCTCATCCCATATTCTCAGATTTTCTGTATCCAGTGGCTGTTGTAACTGTATTGCTGTTTGTCCTGGGGGCCCCTGTCCTGCTTCCTTTTGTCCTTGTCTGGTGGTACCTCTCTGTCATGCATCTTCACTGCAGTGGAGAGCTTATTCACAGCTCTGAAGAGCATTGACCGCATCGACATCGTGAACATGTTGGAGGGCCAGCCGCCTCAGACTGCAAGACAAGGCTCCCATGACCTCAGCAGACAACGAAACAACAAGAGAGACCACCTCTCCCCTGGTATGACCAATGGTAAGTTCCCTGCCCAGAGCCCACAATGCAGCCCCTTCGCTCATGTCCCTTCCCTTTTTCTTAATTCCAAGCCACTCTTCCAGTAGACGTATTTCCTCTATCCCTAAAATCTGCTGAATTCAAGGTAAAGTTTGTTTCCTACTGCATTCTCTTTGTTGTCCTCATGCCTTTTTTTATTCCCTGTGATGTTGTTGTGTATGAAAGCTGCCACAAACATCCAACTTTTGCAGGATTTTACTCTAGCAACATGCAGGGGGACTCAGGACACTCCTACTCTACTACAGCCTCTGTAGTGCCCTTGGTTGTACATTTTACTCTGTATTGATTGATTGACTGTACTGTAAGAGAGAAATGCAATGACGTATACAGAAAACTATGATTAAATGTTGATGCTGATGAGTCAGTGGTTCTGTAGACTATCCTTCAGTGAATAGCCCTTTGGTAAAACACTTTCTATTGGCTAAGCTCTAAATGGTCTAGTTATTCCATATAGAGATGAGTAAGTTCTCTTGTCTTGAGTAATTCTATTAGTGTTTTTGTTGTGGGCAAAATTTGGAATAATCTAATTAGTCAGAGAGAGTGATAATATTTGATTTCCTTGTGCATTAAATGTATTGATTAATTTTTGAATTGCTTATTTCTCAATTTTCTCCACAGGTGAATTAATTAAATTATCAGTGTTATAGAAAAAAGTTTTTTAGGAAATATTTTTTTTCTTGCCAAACATTCAATGAGAAGATGACATGAATCTCATGTCTGAATAGCCAGTTTTAACATAAAGGCTAGAAACAGAGAGAAACGGGTAGCTTGCTTCTGTCCAGGCATTGTTTTTGGCTGGACGCAGTATCCACAGGTGTCCTGCTAAGATCTTACCATGAAATAGTAAAAAGTCCACCAAATGACTCAAATCACAACAAACAAGATGTAACTTGGCGTGGCTGATTTTTAAAAAAAATGTTTGGACAGAGCTGGGCTAGGTGTTTCCCCATATTTCCAATCTTTATGATAAGCTAATCTGAGTGGTAACTTCACAGTAACTGGACAGACAGGAGAGTGGTCTTGATTGTCTCATCCAACATTTAGTCATGAAAGGACACACAGTATATATATATATATATATATTTCCAAAGATTTGTCCATCATGGTCCTCGGGCACCTTTACTGTAGGTAAGCACATTTATAAGGTTTAGTCAAGGTCATTAAATCATACAGTAAATCATGATGGAGTAATACCTTGTCTGTTAGTCTGTCTGCCTGTGCTTGCATGTGTAGTAGTGTGAGTATTTTTAGGTCTAGTGTTGGTGCACTGAATGTCCTCAGTCCTCTGTGTGTTTCTCTGGACATGTCATCTGCAGCCTAGCCGCCCTATTCTTCCTCCTTCTCACTCCTCTCTGAACTCTGACCTCATACCGACCTCATGTTGACCTCTGACCCACATTTGTATCTTTTTTTTTTTTTTGCAATTACTCGTGCATTGTCTTTATTTATGTCCTCTTGAAAAGCCTAACTTTATAAGCGACCGCTCTGTGACCGATACACCTCACACAGATTGTGTACTCAGCACCCATTGGGAGGGGGGAGGTGACCCTCGCTCTCTCACTGTTTCTGTCTGTGTTCATCAGCCTATTAGTTGCCCTTATTTTCTCTTTTTCCCCAGTCTGTCCTTTCCTCCTTGTTCCCATCCCTTCTGTCCCTGCCCTCGTGCCCGTCTGCATATGCACGAGGCTGACTTTCATAGCTCATCTCCCAATGTGTTTGCATGGAGACACTGGGATGAGGGGCAGGAGTAACACTGGTTTGTTGGAGATGTTGCATTGCATTAGCTGCACTGGCACCTACAATCATGGCCAAAAATATTGTCACCCCTGCATTTCTGTCACCACTTTTCCCATAAAATTGTTGTGATCACAAATTCGTTGGTATTCTCATGTTTATTTCTTTTGTTTGCATTGAAGCAAAGAATAGTAAAGCATTGTCTGAGCATCTGAGAACCACAGTAGTGGAAAAGCCTGGACACTCTCAAGGCCACAAGTCCATCTCCAGATATCTGGCTGTTCCTGTGTCCAGTGTGCTCAACATTGTCAAGAACTTTACAGCCCATGGCGCTGTAGCTAATCTCCCTGGACATGGATGAAATAGTGAAATAGATGACAGATTGCAATAAAGGTTTGTTCGAATGGTGGATAAAGAACCTCAATCAACTTCCAAACAAATTCAAGCTGACCTGCAGGCACAGGGTGCAACAGTGTCAGCTCACACTATCCTTCGCCATCTGAATGACGAGGGACTCTCTGGTAGGAGACCCAGGGGGACCCCACTGCTGATAGAGAAACACAAAAAGAAAGCCATATTGGAGGTTGCCAAAACTCACCTGAAGAAGCCACAATCCTTCTGGGAGAATGTCCTGTGGACAGATGAGACTGCAATAGAGGTTTTTGGTCAAGCACATCATTCTGCTGTTTTCAGAAAACAAACTGAGGCCTTCAAAGAAAAGAACACGATCCCTACAGTCAAACATGGTGGAGGTTCGCTGATGAAACAAAAGAAATAAACATGAGAATACCAAAGAACTGCAACAATTTTTGGGAAGAAGTGATGTGTTATCTGACAGAAATATTTTAGGCCATGACTGTAATGTTGCTTGACTGACAAACATTTGCATGGCATGTGTACTGGGAATGAGCCTGCAGTCTGTGTTCCTCCTCAGCAATCTGTCTTACAGGGGGGAAAAAAACCAAGCCACAGCCCTTTTTGGTGAACTATGGCTTGTGTCTGCTCTGTTCATGTGTGAATGTTGTGGTTGTTTTATATGTCACTGCACTGTAAGTAAACTGTGTTCATCTTAGAATATATTTTTATGTGTATGTTTTGTTTTGTGAGGGTCGATTCATATTGTTCCCCTGTTATTATAAATGTGCGTTTTGTTTAATGTGAACTCATCAGTTAGTCTAAGTGTGTGTATCAGTGTGAGTATCTTTGTAGTTTTAAGTTGTTTATTGTCGTATAAGGTCAGTGTTTTGTTTGTCTGTAAGCTTCACTGCATTGTTTTCTGTATGCTTTTCAGTTGGAGAGTTACATAATCACAGACACATTTTTCATACTCACCCATTCCCTTCCCTGGTCTTTTTTCCACCAACATTGCCTCCTCTTACATGAAGAGAGGCCAAATTTGTTTATCATTTTGCCTCAGTCTCACATTTCCAACTGCAAATAATCCTTAGTAAACACAACGGGCTTTTATATGATTTCAGAGGTAAAATAGGAGAGCAGTTGATTTCAGTTGAATTTAGACGATAATGTAATTAGATTTTGATATTACAGCTACAACTGCACTCGCTGCAGCTTATATGACTTATGATTTAAAACTTGAGTGTATTGATAATATACAGTAATTTGGCATTTAAACTGAAGAAGGGTTGAGTATTTGTGATTGAAACCCCTAGGGTTTAAAAGATATCCCACCATCATCTGTTGTGACCCAAGTTAAACTGATTTTCAACTTCCATTCCATTCAACTCATCATTTACTTTGTTCTGAAATACAATAAAATATGTGAATTTCAGCAGCAGTAGGCATAGGAAGACTCCATCCAAAGAGTATTTTTATTTTTACAGCTGATTTATATCTTTGTTTTCTAGAACTTTTATATTAATGAACAATGTACATATATAAACATTTTTTTCATATTTATAATTCTGTAGAAAACTGACAAGTTAAATGCAAATACAGAAAGTAGGACAAGTGATCTCTGTGACTGTCACAAATATCTCCTGCACACTCAGCATTACATGACAGCGTAGTATTGCCAGCCATGAATAAAATTACAGCCTGTGCTCTGCACAGCTCTCTCTTTCTCTTTCTCGTCTCTGTCACTCTCCTATGCAGGCACACATGCTCATGCATGAGGGGACTTGCCTCCTCTCTTTGCTCCGATCTACATACAGTACTTTAGTGTCTCTTATTTCATCCTCTGGTTACTATACTTCCTGCTAATATATCCTGCAGTGTTACAGTCATAGTACCACTTACACTTTGCTTTGTACATTGGCATTCATCAAAGTTTTTACATTATCTATTTACCATATTTCCAGAGTAGTTCTTGCTGCTGTGATATTGCACTCTACCATGCCAGGTCTCCCTTTACAAAAAAAAAGGTATTGTTACAAAGGGTGTTCAAGAAAAAGTTGTAGGAGTGACCTGAGTCCACAGCACATCGACAATGTGCAGTTTGACTGATATAAATAATTTCACTTGCAATACAAATTCAAGTTTGTTTGAGGCAGAAACCATGCTTTCATAACAAAACATATCCACTCTGTGTTTGCATAAATGCATAAAAGGTATTTGTTTATATAGCTGTGTCATATTGAATGCATTATAATAAATATGTGTCAGTCAGAAAGCAAGCAGCTGTGTGGAGTGAGATGGTGTGTGTGTACTTGTATGAAAGGAGAGAATTGCCTGCATGCATGCTATCCAGCTTGACAACGATATTAACCTGCCTGTTTTTGAGTGGGTTTGAAGGCATGATTATATGAGAGCGTATGTGTGAGATTGTGAGGCAGAGGCTGAAAGAGCGTGTTTATGGCATGTGTATGTGTCTCACAGTTGGACATGTATGTATCCCAGGCCCAGGTTGGAGGCAGATGCAATAATTTCTGTTGGTCTTCCTGCAGGTGGCAGCCAGTAGAGCAGCATCAGCCACTGCTGGGTTCAAACCTCAGTCTCGGCCTCTCATTCCATCCAGCTGTGTCTGCTGCTGCTCTCGCCGTCAGTGCTGGCAGATCAAGCTTGACAACCCCTCTTCTAAAAGCAGCCCTTGTTCTCATGTTCTAAGCTCCTTGCACTTTTTTCTGGCTCCTATTGTCTTGACCCTCCCCTCTCTCCCTCCCCACTCGTGTCCCATTTGTCCCTTCAGCCTCCTCTACTCCTCCCCTAGATACCCAGCTCCTGGGCAGGGGCACTTACCCCCTCCTCAAGTCCCGGTGCTCTGGGGGTGAGGTGGGGAGCGAGGCGGGGAGCCAGGTGTCAGTGTGCCTCTCTCTGTCTCGCTCTAGGTTACGGGCTTGCGCAGGAAGAGCTTCTCTCACCGGCCTCTATGCAGTACAGCCTGCCCTCTCCGCTGGGCGCTGAACCTTACTGGCAGGAAGTCTCCAGTCTGGACTGTGCACCTATTGCCACCACAGAAGAAGACACCCTCATGGAGATGTCTGATGTGCAGGTGTGGCCCTTAGGTAACAGCCCCTCCCTGGTGCCTGTGGAGGACTCCTCATTAGAGTGCAGCAATGCTGATGATTCTGAAGGTCTGCTTGGGCTGCCATTTGGAAGTTTGGGTCGGCCGGCCAGTCAAGCCAGTGGAACCAGCGGAGGGGGTGGGGTGCTGAGTGGCTCCACTGAGCTACCCGAAGACGATTCAGAGATGGGCATTGATTCGCTCAGCACTGCCACGCCAGCCTCCCTTGGGGGCACCATTGCTGGGATCAATCTTAACTGTCTGAACAATGGTCAGGGGTCAAAGGCAAGTTCGGAGGTGTCAGCATTCACCAGTACAACTGGTGGTGATGGAGATGGAGGAGGAGGAGGAGGAGGAGGAGGGACAGGCTCAGAGGAAGGGCTTTCTCTTGTTGCAGGACAGCAACAGCAAAGGATTTATGCTCGACTGAGTGAGTCGCCTGGTCGGGGCTGTGCTGCAGATCGGAATGGAGACAGGTGAGACAAACCTCTGTCTGGCTCTCAGGTAACAGTGCAGTCACAGCCCTACTAGCAAAACATCAATGCTTATGTCCCATGTAATTTTTATAAACTGGAGTTGTTGGGGAATAATGGAGAAGTGATCACCAAGAGGTTATGAAAGTTATTTTGCTTTCCATGAAGTAGTCAGGTGCATGCACCACCTCCTCACTGATCCATTCTCTCCTTCCAGGTCCAGTAACAGTGGAAATGGAAGTGGTGGAGGCTCTTTCCTTTCCTACCTGCAGGAACAGACAGGTCCAGGGTGGATCCCTGTCACTGATCCTACTCAGGCCTGGGTGAGCAGTCAACCTAAATCCAGGCAGGCAGTGGACTCCATGATGTCATCAGTACATAATGCTGTGGATGGAGACCAGTCCCGCATGTCCCCAGAAGCCTTGCTTCAGCCTGTGAGGGACATGGGCCATTCAGAGATCTTCCTGGGGCACTTCAGAGGTACACAGCCATTTGAGAAGGGTTTGGGCTTCCCACATAGGGTCCCAGAGCTGAGGGCCTGGGACGGCATGCACCTGAAGGGCCAGGTGAGTGTGTTGCTATAAAAATAATGGTACACAAATGTTGAACATGTTGCACTGTAACTATTGTGATGCAAACTAACAAACGTATTTCATTATATGAGGCTGTACTTATGCACAGTGGTGCTTTAACCTAAATACTAACAGCAGCATGCTAACCATATCCATAACACTAATAAGCTCACATTGACAATGCTAGTATGCTGATGCAAAGCAGGTTTTACAGTATGTTTATCATCATCACCATCCTAGTTCAGAGTTAACTGGTACTATATGTACAGCCTGGTGAGAATGCCATAGGTTTTGCAAGTATCAATGCTGTGAGTTGGTGGAAAAAATTCAGTAGATTCACTACCATATTGAACTGACAACATTAGAAGCATTAGTATTGTGCCTGCATCTACTAGAAGTCATACTTCAATCAAACTTGGTGTTCAAATCAGCATTAGTTTGTTTGTTTGTGGTTAATTCTAGAAACACAGAGCAAGCAAATGCAAAAAGACACACACACATACACAGAGTCCAGGGCCCAACATGGACTCAAACAGCAGGCCGGCCAAATATAGCCAGCATTCTCACTGTCCTTCTCACATTACGTGATCCCACATGGTGACTTTCTGGCACAACACGGGCACATCCCACTGCAAAGGACAATCTCAGCCACGAAACTGTGTGTGAACAAAAATAGTGTTGTGTTAGGGGCCTCTCTGAACTTGATAAGGGCTTTAAACTGGGTCATACTGGTGATTAAAGAGTATACTTTGGTGTCACTTGGAAGCAATGTGTGCTGCATAATTATGTCTGCATAGTAATATGATTGTCTTTGATGAAATGTACCCCTGAGGCTATGTGGATCATAGGGATGGACACACATTTTGGGGCAAGTTTCAAGTCTTAGTGCTCTCACCATAGCATACAGAGCCACACTGGAGTAGGCAGAGGTATTTAAAGCCCACAGATCACATGGTCAGAAAGAGAAGCCTACCCTAGGTTGCTTTTGCCTGGAGTTGCCATTGACTGGGCTACTCCTGACTTGACAGCGGGACGGAAAAGGAACATAGACCTGGGGAAAGGGCCCATTGTCCCAGCTAATGGAGGACAGATATGAACTGAAAGACTCAAAACCACTTTGACTGAACCAGTGACAAAAGGCAGAGGGCTGCAGCTGTTACCTTCTCTCTCAGCCGAGAGAAGTGCTGCATGGAAAACGGGAGTCACTGAAGGCAAAAGAAAGTGAAGCAGGCTGTGGTGATTTGCTGAGGATCAAAGTGGGGCAATGTGGGCTCTGGTGACTGAGCTTCTCTTCAGCTTTGTTGTGCTGGCTTTCCTGGTAATCAGCTGTCAGAATGTCCTCCACATAGCCAGCGGCTCGGTGCGGTGTGTGCTCATTTCCATACATGCTCAGCTGGACCGTGAGCTCGGAGAGGCTGAGGGGGTGGCTGACGAAGAGGAGAATGTCACGACCAGAGTGGTTCGCCGCAGAGTCTTCCTCAAGGTACAAAGAAAGGGACAGCGGAGAGTTAAGCAGAAGGTAATGAAAAGGGAGCGCAGGATGAAGTTATTGCTTGTTCAGTGAAAGACTGAAGAGTGCAGGAGTGGTACAGGATAGGCTTGTGCTAGTAAAAGTAAATTATTTAACTGGGTTTACGACAATTAAGTGGAGCGGGTGTGACAAAAGTGGTAGTAAGGATAGATTAAAGACACTGTATACGAGGAGCAGTTCTATATGTGCTGGGCAATAATAAATAAAATGAATTTTATTCTGTGAGATTTGTATCAAATTACTGTGAGGATGTGGCTAAATTTATCTCCTGCTGTTATGGCTGTGAATAGGTTATCTTGGGCTCAACAAATTTACACTCATGGGCTCTGTGGCATTTTCTTCCTACTGTATCTCAAACTCCCACAGTGCCAATACCCAGTACAAGTCATGACTGTGAACTTTGAGCGTGAATGTGACTGTGAGTTGTATTCAGACCTACACGAGCTCGACTGTCCCTTGTTCTCAACTTGTTTGTCTGGCTGCCAAAGTTTGTTTGAGCTTATAAATAGCTGTGCAGACACACTGCAAATCATCATGGGCTAAAACAGAGTTGGCATGACTCTCATGAACTGGATATGTGTCTCTAAGAAACATTTGCGACCTCACTCCCTCCCAACTGTTGGATTCACACACTTCCACATGCAACTCTCTAACCCCTCATCTATCTGTTGTTAATCCGCTTCTCTGTGTTTCTAATTAGTGAAGAGCTTTATGGCATGCACATACTGTAATTACACTACAGTGGCAGCCATTTCAAAATGCTTTACTGATTGCAAATTTTCTTTCCACCAAGAAGAAGGAACTGAAGTTTTGCTTTGAAAGACACTACATAAGGGTGATGCTTTTCTGTCTACAGGAAAATGAGGCTGAAGATCTTCCCGGGGAGCATGTAAGCGAGGAACAGTTCACAGATGAACATGGCAACATTGTCACGAAAAAGGTCAGCCATTTCAACATGTTTTTATACTGCTTTCTCAAGTCATTGTTTATGCTGTCACAGCATCTCTTCACAGAATGATTATTAAACTAATAATCATTACACAATTCATCAGCATTCATCACATATGATATTACACTATGTATATACTGTATATCACCAAAAAGAAATTGATTTCAGTTTTTTAAAGATATGATGACATTTTACATAATACTCATTTATTTATGTTTCACCAGTCTGTTTTATCCACACTTTTTGCTTTTCTTCATTACTCTCACCCACCCTCCTGTGTGTGGCTGTGTGTACGTGGTAGATTGTGCGTAAGATTGTGCGTAGAGGGAAGGGTTCAGGTGAGGAGGGTGTTCAGGAGCTGAACGCCGAGGGGTCTCTGCAGGATGCTAACGAGCAGGAACTTGATGCTGAGCAGTTCACGAGCTACGCCATCCTGGGCCGGGACAGCGGCAAGGTGGGCTTCTGACCTGCAGACAGCTCTCTGTTGACCACAAGGCTTTGCAACACCCGAAGCCCCCATTAATAGCTAAGATGTGCAGGGAGCACGTAGAGCCCAAATGGACTGAAATGGCTGAAGCAAATCAGATTTAAACCCAGTGAACAGGGGACTCTGTTTTGTTGTAAGCTTGAATGTCTCACTTCGTTGTGGTTTCACAAGCATACAAACAGTCCTTCTGTGGCTTAATTTGCATGCGCTTCAGTTTGAAGTACTGATAGGATGAGGGCACAGTTTGTGTTTTCATGTTCTTAAAAGCAATACCCCTGTTTCATTATGTGTCACTCCTAAATCAAAAAATGTTGTTGATTGCTGACCTTCTGTAACATTAATCTCAACCCCAGTTCCCCTGGCCTATGTTCACCTTCTGCATGCAAGAACAACAAATTAGTCCACTTTGCTCTGGTGCTGTTATTGCTTTGGTTGAGGTGTTCACATCAACCCACTCAGGGTGTCATCATTGTAGTAATAACTCAGCTGCACTTGCAATTTATATGTTTGTTTCTGGCACATGAATGACTGAATGGAATGACTGTGGCTCCTTGCAATGCTTATATTTTCCACCCCTTTCCCATCGGTTTTCTCAGTGAGTGACTCTTCTGTCTTTTTGCTTCCATTAAAGTTTAACATCCCTGAAATTCTGATTGCGTGCTGTATCTGTCTCTGAATCAGAGGTGGGACAAATATTCACAGTCATTCAGTTTTTTCATTTGTATTTGTTTATGTATTTATTTTGCTGGAAGGAGTTTAACACATCACGTTAACTCAAAATACCAGGGTGTCTAGCTATGTAAACTTTCTTGACATTAGTGTGTTGTCTGACGTGGCTTATCCTCCCCCCATCGGAGACCAAGAAAGCTCATCAGAAATGTACACGATGCTACTCTGAATCCCAAATAATGTAGATGTTTGTGATGCCTTCTTATCTTCAACTGTCTTTCAAACTGCCACCCAGCACTTCTACCCTTGTTTGACTGTTACACAATTCATATACATAATTTCTTTCTTTTCCTCCCTCTTTCCTCTCTCTTCACTTACTTGTTATTTTTCTGTGTTCTCTTTCCTTGCGGTGCTATTTCTCTTTGCTGCTCTCTTTCGGCTGTCCTTTCTCACCTTTCTGTCTCTTTCTCTTCTCCTTTACTCTCCCTACTAACATCCCCTCAACCTTCTGTTTTGCTCCCATCATCCGACTTCATCTCAATCCTCGCACCTTTTCTGCCGTCAACCCCCTTCTGCCTGATGTAGCCCGATACTGTGGATGTGAAGAAAGGTGCTCAGATAGTGAAATGTGCCAGTCTGCGGAGAGTTAAGCAGTGAGGCAGACTGAGCGCTGCATCCCCGCAGGTACGGGACTGACCCACAGCGCCTCATCTGACCTGTGGGCTTGACCATTTAATCCAGGCTTTCTGGGTTAAATGCATCTGAATGTACCATAAATTTTATACTAATGATATGTAATGTGATGCTGGCACAACAAAATGACACTTAAAACTACAGTTAAACTAATAGTTAACATGAATGACACAGAGAAAATATTTTATTGAATTATTACATTTTTTTGCCCAAATAGTACAAACAGTATCACCAAGATACTGGAAATAAAACCTCCTAATTATGGAAAAACATTGTTTAGTCTTTATAATATAGAATTGATTTTGATATACAGGCTAAAGTTTCAGCCTTAATGCGGGTGATATGAAGACATAGAAACCTGAGGTGATGATTAATGCTCCAGTGATTTCCAGTTTTTTTAACAAACTGAATAAACACAAATTCACACTGCTTGCCTTCTGGCAAATGCTTTGTCATGTTTACTTCACATGTATGGATTTACATTTGTCAGTAAGTAATTCTTGTGCATTGAACATGACAGATTTTTGTTTGCTCAAATGAATATCATTTTTGCATGATGAACAATTTCTCTGTGTGCAAAACTAAATCTTATATATAAAGTGTCCCAGTGTGCACTCAGAAATGAGACACAAATGTAATTCCGTACAGATGGATAATAGATGCAAATAGATTATTCATGTTTTGCAATAAATTCTACCAGGCCAGTTTTTTTCTTATTTTTTCATGCATGCTGTGACAAGCTGGAAAAGGGTTGGCACAATGTGCACTAAGAAAAACAAATGGCAAAAAGGCACTGTAAAGTGACAGCTCTCAGGGTCAAAGCTACAAGACCAGTGAAATGCTATCTGGAGCCAATGTGCTGTGTGTTTGTGTGTGTGACTTGTCCTTTCTAATGTAAATGACATTCCTGAGATTACTGATATTTCAAGTGACTCACTAAACCACTTTTGCCAACCATTTTTGCTTGGATGCTTCTGCAGAACTAATGTGTTGTGTTATAAAGTTTTACAAAGACAAATATTACAAAAAAAAAAAATCAAACATGAACACGTTAGCCAAGACTGCATAGGCAGGATCACTCTCTAACTCAGAAATACTCATTTTCACACTCACTCCCTGCAGCCTGCATGCCACCTGCTTTGTAGATTCCTTATGACTTTTCTGATCCATTATAGTGTAACAAATGTGTGGCTTGTTCTAATTTCCTGTTTCCCTCTCTCCACAGGATTCAGCCCCTTCACCAAAACCATCCTACATGGACACATGACCAGCAGCATCTGACAGGAGGAAGAACACACATTAATGAGCAGACAGACAGAAATGAAAGGCAACAAACAGCAACTCAGTGACAGCCACAGCGGCTATGCCGACCATCAGCACGTACCAGAAGAGAAGGACGAGGATCTACTTGTAGTTTTATTACCTTTTTTAAGAAATCACGGGGAAAACATCTACTACTAGGCTAGAAGCATGATTTCATATAAAACAAAAAAGAAACGCAAACAAAAAAGGAAAAAAAAACTAGCAACCAAAACGTGCTTCCTGCTATCTGTATAAGCATGAGTGACTGCTGCCGCATGGTCTGTCTTTAACTTCAAATATTGAGGGAATACAGGGGTGGGGAGTTGGGGGGGGAGATAGGGAGGAGGCACTGCTGTATGGGACAGGCATGCAATGTAGGTAATGGTCAATCACTGGTCTGTTGTTTAAACCAACAGGTAAACATGTATCAAACTTAAGAAAAAGCAAGACTAAAATAATGAGAATTACATAATCTCTAGGCAACAGGTTACTCCCCTCCCCTGTCACACTCTTCCAGCTAAGACCATCCCAGACTAGTTTTAAACCTGTCCCAGTGCTCTCAAAGTCCAGTAAAGCTGCAACTATTACCCAAGGATATCGGTGTTGTACATAATATCGTATGCACTAAAATGCTGTATGTGACAGTGTGTTGTTTATGTTGTAAGATCCCTATGCTAAGATCCCCACTGATGCTGCTGTTTCAGGTACATAAGTAATTCCTCCCTGTTTTTCTCATTTGGTTTGTTTGGTTTGAACCTATATATTATTCTATATATCTTGGGTTCTTTGTGGGTACAAGAACATACAAATGTTGTCTCACTCTTTTTGTTTTAAATGTCAGATTTATATGTGTCAGGATGTTTCTTTGTGCTTTTCTTGTCCTGTCACTTTTTCCTTTTGCCATGCCAAACCTTTGAGGGAAGATGTAGCATAATTGATTGTATTGTGGGTTTGTGTGCATTGTAAAGAGGGTTTCTGTAGTGAACCCTGATCTTTTATCGTGGAGAGGGTGACAGTGAGATATATGATGAGTGACAAATTCTCATGAGAGATTAACCTAGTCTGCCATGCCACTCTACACTCATGTCCCCAGTGTGCTGTATCCTTGTGAGGTTTGTATTAATCAGATGTGTGTCTGAGCCAAAATCCCAATGCCTCTATTCACCCTCAATTTTGCCCTTATTGCCCTACCTCCACCTTTCACCCCCTCGCCTCTCCAATCAGCCTCTTAGAGTAGATGTAGCAGTCCTGCCCACCACCAGCAGGGGGCAGGATCCCACCTTCAGCAAGTAGCAGTATCTGGTTGACCTCATCGTGCAGTATCCGATACCCATGAGGTGCACTTGCAGACCATCTTCCCACTACCAGAAGATGTCACTTTATGAGGGTAAAGTAGCTGAAATGCTGGTAACAATGTAGCACTGGTCTGACTGGGTAAAAGACTAAGAGTCAGCTGGAGAAAGTGTTGTGTCCAGGGTCGAGGACGTGTTGAGCTTTGATGTTTGTCTCCTTGGCAATTCTTTGGAGTGTAGCCCAGACAGTCACCAATCACTGTGATGAGAAACTGTAATACTGACCCGTAACTGTGAGCCCGACCCTTCCTGGAGCGTGTCTCTTGTTTCACTCCTTTTTTTTTTTCATGATTTATTGTATTAATTGTACTGAAGCAATAACCGCTTACAAAAGGAAAGGACTGTGTATGAGTGTGTCTGAGTGTGACAGAGAGAGAGGATTTTAGGATCATGTTCTTCCGAAGCTCTGGCTTTTGGTCTGTTCATAACCACATAGGCTGCTCCTTACTACACTCAAAAATGATGTCAGTACATTAGTACGTCATGTTTTTTCACTTTGCTTCATAAAAAAAAACTATAACATGTTAAACTTAAGATTGGGCAACTATTGGTGTGACCAACTGTGAGCTGTCTGTAGGTGTATTCAGTAATAGTTTTTAAACCTTAATGACATTCGTATGCACCTTGACAGAAATCCTTCTACAGTATATGTGTATGTGTGTGAGCATGTGGCTGTGATTTCATATTCAGTCCTGGATATTGGGATATGTCAGCGTTGTGACAATATCACAGGACATAATATTACAAATGGACGTAGAGCCAGAGGCGCTCAGATTTTACACATGAATTCAAATTTACATATTTTTAAAGTTGATTTACCTCATTAAGCGTGCCATCTTTCATGATGTCTACATGCATTTCTTTCAAGCATTATCTTAGACATTGAATACTTCATTGTGGGAAAATGTATAAGTCACAAAAACCTTGCAATAAGGACCTATGTGTTTAGGCTTCATAGTCAGAGATGATGATAAAGTCTTAGTATGCTGTTAGTTATTTAGCAGTCATCTGTGTTGGCTCTGTACGTTAGTAGATGCTGTTTTAACTCAATATCTGCTGTTGATCCTCAAACATATGACTTAATTCTCATTTCATTACAAACATACATAGCCTACAAATCATATAAGATGTTTAATACAAGAAGCCTCAAATGGCTTTGTTTTGACATTTTTACAAATATTACTTCATCAGATATGATTTCTATTTTATTATATTTTTAATAGTTACAAAAAGTTAGATGTCAATAGAAATTACACAGCAGTGTAATGGTGTATGGTTTGCTCTCTAAGGGCTCATCATTATGGTATGTTTGGGTTTGTTTTTAAAGCAAGGATTGTTTTATAAACCCACTTCTGATGTCAGGGTTACAGCAGTGGCAGGGTGGGGGGGTCTGATGAAAAGACAATAAGGGGTCACAACTTAGATAGGGAGTTTTGGTGGGGAGGCTTGGTGGCTTCGGTGGCTAGTCTTTCAAGATGACAAGCATTTTTCCTCAACACAGCCCACCACTGATCTATTTCTACCCCCTTACCACATATAAGACTGAGCCAATTGTGAGGCTTCCACATGGTGACAAGTCTGAATGCAGTTTTAAAGGAGTCCAGCTAAGTGCAGCAGAGGGAGGGAGGAGTAGTTGCATCAGAAAAATGAACACTGGAAAGCCCTGCACTGAGGGACTACTGAGATTATGCCAGGTTCATGCAAAAATATTAACTGTTGCAAAAACTAGAGAACACATATTCCTTTAGAATGGATTGAAGACATTATTAACACAATAGCATATTACTCAGAACTAAGGAATGCACCTGCACACCTTCCTTGAATATGTTTTAACATAAAAGGCTATATATAAATATATATGAAATATATATATATATTTACTTAGAATGCTATGCACCGTTACTTGTCAACTGGGATTCTAGTTATGTTATGGATGTACTTTTAGCATCATACAGCTGTAGCTACCAAGAGACTGTTGAGTTCTGGGTAATGCCTGCAAACTGGGGATAAACGGGGGTCTTGTGGGTACTTTGACCCATTTTGTTTTGCCTTCTAATTCAATCAAATCTGAGGACATCTATTGACAATTTACTCTGTACACCAGCTCAACATTTACAAAATTAATAAAGAAATGAAATGTCTTTTGTATAGTGTGTATAATTTTGTGTGAAGTGCTGCACCTAACTGCTGATGATTATAATGTAGTTTTGAACAAATCAAATGTTGCAAACATGCTGAACTGACCCAGAATACTGCTGAGCAATCTTATGAAGATGGTTACTGTACATCTATCAGATTTTCACTGATAATTTAACATATTGTCCCAAGCAGAGCTTCTCTTTGGAATTCTGCAAAAACACATATGAAAAGAAAGATAAATAAAGCCAGTGAATACACCTTGTTTGTTCTCAAAAATGAAAAATGTATTCAATATCTATTTAATAAATGCATTTACCAACAGCCTTGACTGCAGATTAAGGCTGTAATTAAATTTGTGGAAGTTTCACTAGCAAGGTCATAAATTGAATTAGTCCTTTAGCCTATTTTGTCTTAGATTAACTTTGATATCATGGTTTATATGCTGTCACAGATTGCATTGTATGTGATGATTACAACAGATCAAACTTGTACAGCAGGTGCACAGACACTATGCGCCAGTAGAGGGCGGAAGAGGGCCACACGGTCCACCTCAGGACCGTTCCGCTCTGTCTGGCTGTTTGGATGCTTGTGGGCACCCGTGGAAGCGGAGGAACGTGTGCTCAGGTTTTTTTTTTTTAAAGTCCTCCCACAAAGAACCCGGACACTTGTGTGTGCGTGTGTATGACTGCATGTTGTAATGTGACAATAAAAGATGCAACATTTCATCATTTGCACCTATGAAAAAGGGGCATTTTTTTAACTTAAGTGAAAGTAGGTTATCCACTCCTTTGAGCCAAAGCAATATCTGCAACAGGCACGGTGTGGCTTTGTAAAACCAAGACTTTTTTGTCTGTTTCATGTTACTTAGATAGTTTTAGCATTTTATAATTGAGACGACGATGTCCACCGACTGCCAGAAGACCACTGCCAAGGCCATCCCGTCGACCAGGACGGTGACTGTCAACGACGCGGAGCACATGCCTCATGACTACTCCTCTACTCCCGGTGGGACCCTGTTCAGCACGACCCCGGGTGGTACGTACTGTTGATATACTTCGTATTTACATGCAGATGCTGAAGAACTGTGCTGTTACCCACGGCCATTCATGATTTGTACTACTGTTTGAAACAGCTGCCTCGTCAAAAAAAGCTGCTGTCAAAAACGCCACGGCGGAGCATGAGCTGCTAGCTGTGCCTGAGCTAACTGCTAAAGCTAGCTAGCAAGTGCTAACAGGACACTGAAAGAATTCACTGACTCGAAGCAGTGATGTAACTGTGTTCCCAGGCATGTGGGTGGTGTGCACTTGTATCACTGCTTTCTCATGTTAAAAGGATGTGTTTTTGGTTTTGATTGAGGTGTCATCAGCTGACTCTCTTAAGTTAACGACACCTACTGTACGTTTACGTCACCAACAACCTAAGTTGTGATTGGTGTTCTTCAGTGTGAGCTCGCCTGGCTAATTTTTGCGCCTCCTTAATTGTTGAAGACATTTAGTAGAACTGCACCAGTTAGGTGATTAATTGTTTAGTTGATTCTCAAAAATAATTTGGAACTATTTTGAGTGACTTTTCAAGCAAAAACATTCAGAACCTTGCTGCTTTAAGACTATCAATGTCTTATAGCATTGTAAACCAAATAGCTGTGGGTCTCAGACCACAAGATAATTGATGTAGCTCTTTTTTCTGATGTTTTATACACTCAGTTAATTTAGAAAATAATCAGCAGATTAATAAATAATGGAAATAATAATTAGTTGCACCTTTAGTGTAGTATATCAGCAGTCATGGTAAGAAGTGTCAAGTTAAAATGGACATGCTGTCACATCAGTGATGATAATCTCTTTTCAATTTTCCTGCCTCCTCTCTGGAAGGTACCAGGATAATATACGACCGAAAGTTCCTGCTGGAGTGTCGTAGGTCCCCAGTTGCCAAGACCCCTCCGCGAGGTCTGCCCAGCATTCCAGGGGTGACAGGTTGTCCCTCCAAACACACCAGTGAGAAGTCTCATAATGGAGAACTACTGAAAGACACCACTGCACCTGAGAGCAACAACCCTGGTATGTTGACACCTCAGAAACACAATCACAGGGTAGCATTTACAGTAAAGTATTTTGTCCTAAGATCAAATGTAAATTCATTTATTCGGCTAACTGCTAATGCTAGCAGGGAGCAGTGTAAAACCATGATTTTCTGCCTGTTTCATGTTAGATAATTAGCTAGCTTTAGGATAATAAATAATTTCACAGTTTAAACATATCCAAACATACAAAAAGACATAAAAGAAAATAAAACGCTGAGCAGATGGTGGTATGTGTGCACCCTCATTGTTATATGACAATGTGCATATTGGCAAATTCAATGTATATGAGCTCTGAAATCTGATTCAGAGCAAAGGACGTCTCATTCCTCTAAAATCATATTCCTTCATTTACTCTCTCCTCATATCTTTTCCTGCATCCCTACCAAAATGCATGGAGTGAAAAGTAGATGCAATTAAGGAAACTGAGATGTCTTCCATGTTGCTGATTTTTCTTTGGGAGGTGTTTGTTATTTTACCCTTAACCAATCAGGAGCTAGTTATGTATGTCCAGTGAAAATCATAGTCAGCTGTCTCAGGAGCTCTGATGGCAGCTGAAAGAAGTGTTTAACATTTTTATGTCATTTAAAGAAATACTGCAGTTTCAGATTAGCAGTTTGACTTGCAGTACACCTGCGCTTGCCACCATTTGTCTCAATCTGTCACATTTTCTGTCTCAATCTTTTGGGCAAGAAGATGACGTACCCCTTCTTAATGCCATCTGCAAACCTCAGATTGGCTTGGTTGCTTCTCCAACTGGTTGAACAGCCGTTATAATCACAACACAGTATATTTTAATAATTGAGAAATATGTTATGTGGGCTGCAGTTCAGAGTTCAGGAACCAGGTAAAGGGGCAGATGTGACATCTTTCCTCATCAATATTTTGGCTTTTTTTTTCTTGAAATTATTGAATTTGTACTCAAGAAGTAACTGTAAGAACATTGTTTTTCATTTTAAATGGATTCATATATAGTTTGGTTGTATGTAATGAAAACTGCGCATTTTTCTAGGCATTACAAATTATGTAACTGTGTTAATAGCTATTGATGCCATTCCTGCCATGTTCACTGTCTGATGTTATTGAATTATATTTTACTAGCTAATGACATAAGGCTCCCAGTTTTCCATATGTTGTTATGGCATGAGGCTGTTTAAGGTTGCTCTTAATGCAGTAAGGCAGTTAGTACTCTGCTTTTCTTTCTTCTTAAGGTGAGGATGCACAGTTTGAAATCGACATCTAGGTGGTGCCAGAGCAAGTATTAAGATATCAGACTTACCAACAGGATGCTGTGGTGAGAGAGATTCAGGCGCACCTTCTCTTTTCTCACTATCCATTCCATGAAGGCAAGTTCACCTGTAGGATCCGCAGTGTCTTAGTGTTTCCTAGTCTATCTTTGTACACCTCTTTGTTTATTTTGCCCACATCAAAACTATCATGAAACCCTATTTGTTTATGCGTGACAAAGTGTGCCTTCCTGTAGTGACTACAAGTTTAAAATCAGTATTGAGAAGTATTTCACACCAAGTACTGAGAGCAAATAATTTAAAAATGAATATCCAAATGTAAACATTTTTAACTGCTTCAGAAGGAGTTGTCATTTTAGATGCTTTTATTTTCACACATTTCCTGACACCTCTCTTCAGGTCTTGCCTTCAAATGACAGATACTCTATAATTTGTCTATCGTGCTCTTAAAAACAAGTTCTTCACCTGAAGTGACATACAGAGAATGTTAGACACAATTTTGTTGATGACAGTTTGAAACAGATTTTCATACAGTTTTGTACAATGACAAAAAAAGCATTAAAGCAAACAACATTTTCTCTTGGTTATGTATTTTTCTTTGTGTATTGATTGTGTGCTGCTAGTGAGTAGTGGGCAACATCTTCGTGTTCACTTGTTTAAATGCATATTTCTCTTAGACAGTGCCATTTGAAAGAGCAAAAATATCTTATTATGGCAATAAAATGAAAATGATTCGATGAACACAACTGAGTTATATGCAGTTCAGATGTTAAAGTGAAAGGCTAATATACACTTGGAAGTGATACAGTTTTACTGTGACAGCTTGCTTCGCAGCCTGTAGCACTTTCTTTGCCCCCTTGATTCAGCACAGGTCATATCAGAGGAATTCCTCAAGGAGCTCACTGGCAACTGATAACCTCAGTCAGTGGACTGTATAAAGAGAGGTCAATATACAATTGTACATAGCTGGGAGAAACTCCTTTCCATCACCTTGTTTCCATTTCCACTTCACTTGCTGGTACCTTGTAGGTTCGCCATGCCCAGATGTTTGCGAGGTTGGCGTGATGCTAGATGTAGGTTGACAAAATAGAGCCCAGACAAAAGCATTTTGAGTAATATGAAATCAAACCTTTGTGCCTGGGCCTACTACGTTAGTATTCAGTTGCAGTTATTCCTGGTAGAGTCAGACAAGACAATGACCTGACCACCAGGGTCAGGTTTGTCCAGGGTTTATAAGGACTGATGTGAGGTGATGCAGCAAAGCCCCGATATTCTGATATTCTTTTATTGTAGTGACAGTGATAAGATTGGACCAGACCTTCATTGTTGCAAATGGCCACTTGCTGAATGTGATCATTGTTAATTGGTGAATCGATCAAAACTTTATTGGTATAGCACCTTTCATATAGGTTAATATCATTCAAAGTGCTTTAGAGATGACTGGCATAAGACAGAATAAACATTTTTAAACAAAAAATTGACACTATATAAACAAGTAAATGTAAAAATGATTAAAAAGCATTGGGGATGCAACTTAAATTGCTTACATTATTAATTAATCTGCCAATGATTTTCTTTAATAATTAATTAACCGTTTGGTCTATAAAATACTTTAAAGCTGAAACTGAAAACGGTCCAAGGTGACCTCTTGTTTTGTTGTTCATCTCAGTCCAAAACTTAAACGCCTTCCAGTTACTGTGATATAAAACAGAAATTTTTCCAGTTTAATAGAAAACAGCCATTTTTGGTGACCTTTGTTTGGAAAAATGACTGAAATGACAAATTATTAATCAAATATTTGCCATTGATTTTCTGTTGACTAATCATCTAATCATTGCAGGTCCTTTAACTCGTAAGCATAAACATTATATTACTTGACTGATTGAGCGTAAAAACTGACATTGCACAGTGTGAGCCAGTCTGTAAAATCCTAAATTCATCATCATTAGTAAGGCAGTTTTAGGAAACCTCAGCTGAATAAAACTGAGAGTAATGAAAGACCTCTGCCTGGACTTGTCTTGGCTGAAAGTGTGGATTGAACAGTTTCAGCTGATCAGTTCCAGTCCGCCCTGTCCTTCCTCCACGGTAACTTCAGGTGTTGACTCATCCCAGTTCCCTCACATTGCCCTTGTATGTTTTGGTTCCTAACCTCTCTTTGTCACCTCCGCTTCCTGACCCCCACCCACCCCGCCCCCATTCTGTAAAATAAACAAGTGCTACTGCTTTTTTTTCTCCCCTGTCGATCCATTCCTCGGTTCACTTTCTGTGTCGTCCCACTCAGCGTGCCTGTTTGATCACAATCAACAAAAGAAGCCTGGCCAAAGAGGACACTAATGACCTTTGATGATGTGTGCACTGTAGTGGGCCCAAAGATGTGGATTGGAACAGAGGAAGGCAAATACTTTAAACTGTTAGTAGGTCGCCAGTCAGAGAAGACAAGTAGAATTAAGATGTAGATGAGTATCAACAAGCAGGTTGAGCCTCTGAGTGGTTTTTGCTAATCCAAAAGGATTCTGCATGTGTATCTCATTCTGTATACTGCAGTAACTATTGCTGAGGGGTTTAATACAAATTAAAAACAGTTAAAAATTATCATGAAATAAAGCACTCAAGTCCTGCGTATTTTTAAAATTGAAAATCATTACGTTATGTATGTATGCAAATAATGGCCATAAGGTTTTAGAATTTATAAGCAAATGAATACTGTACTTTTAAAATTAAGTTGAATTGAAAAAAAAAACCCCACTTTATTAGTAACACTGAAATATTTTACTCTGAAAATAATCTCTGAATTCATGTGGTCCGAATTCCCCTCTTTAAATATTTGTCAATCTCAGGTTATGCAATTTCAAAAACTTTATTCCCACATCCAGATATTTAGGATGCACAAATTCATATTGAAAATGAAAGCACCTAATAGTCAAAAACTAAACTCAGCTTGTGAGTATTGACAAAAAGAAACACATGTCAAAATAAAACATTTTAATATATGTTCATATTTTATGTACAAATATACATGATAATGTATAAATAAAAATGTATAACTTGCAGAATGGAGCGTACGTCTTATTAAAGATAGAAAGTACTATAGTTTACCAGCCAGTATGGATGAATATATTTTGAGTCATTCAACCTTAATACTCTTGTTACTTGCTGTAAAAGGCCATGACTGGGAAGTTTAATATTTGAACACTATTTAAAGATTTTGCTCTATCATAGCTGCTCCTGTGACTGTTTAGTGGCAAACACACTCTTCAACAATCATGTCCTCATGATGCCGCAGGGCCAAGTCATCGTTTTCATAGTACAGCATGGAGAGTGGACTGATTTCTGGATGGTGATGTCGCAAGAGGCTCTGAAAAAGATATAGATAATTCATATCAATTAACTGGCAACTATAAAAACAACAAAAAAAAAAACAACCTTGTGATTGTTTAGGATTCTAAAGGGTTAACAATTCAGCTGTCATCTTACCTGCATATATGCGTGGTTGGTGGGACGGAAGGACTCATCCAGTGGTGTAGGACACTCTCCCTCACAGCGATATGCATTGTAGCGCTTGGGGTGTACAATCCACTCATCCCAGCCTATGTGGTCAAAGTCCACCCACATGTCTACCTTCCTACACAGCGGCCTCTGGACTGGCTCTGCTGCCGGTGCAGCAGTAGGTGCAGCTCCACCAGTCACTCTCATCCGCTCCAGTCGGTTTCTTTTGTGGCGTCGACTCTGTCTGTCACTGCTGACTCTGTCCACAGTCACATACTTGGAGTTCTCCACAGTATGAATGAGGCTGTACGCTGCGTGGCCTCCCTGAGGCTGGTTGTGTTTGGAGAAGATGATCATCATGATCCGGTTTGTCGTTGGATGGTGTATTTTCCTTTGCTTCAATCCCGAATCCTTGAAGAGGGACTTGCTGGTTGTCTCCCCCACCTCTCCATCACCACTCCCACGGTCTGTCTCAGGCTGTACTGAGGCCTCTTGAGTCACTCCATCTCCCTGGTACAGCCAATATTTTAACAAAGCAGTCACATTAAAAACCTTCCAGGAAGACTTGGTGCTGTTAGGTGAGGTGCTAAAGCTCCCCAGGAAAAGGTGCTCCTCCTCCTGACATGATGTGCTGTCCTGGTCACAGCTCTGCTTCCGGGAGTGGTATAAATCCACAGTGGCCTGCTTAGAGGCAGAGAAACCTGGTAGTCTGATCCGAAGTTCTGCCAGCTGGACCATCTCACTAGTAGAGATGGATGACATGTCAAATGTGACAGTCCATCTTTCACCCACTTGTTGGCAACCTAAAAAAGAAACAAAACCAGGCATGTAAATGGGAGCTCATTTTCACATAGACCAGTCAGCAGTCTGAAAGATTCTGGGCAAACCAGATTCCTGGACAAATGTCAATACACTCAGGTGGGAGGGTGAACAGGACAGGATGTGTATTGAACCCCCCTGTGCAAGGACGTCTGAGGGCTAATATACACACCCTCTCACATAAAACAGAGAAAGCCTTTAAAGTTGAATAAGCATTTTGACACTTGTGGAGTTGTAAAAAGGGGGGTCTGATAGCACAGACAGTGCACCAGCCAGAGAGCTGCTGGAGGACTGAGTACACCGAGGAGAAACATATACAGTATTTGGCATGTTTTACATCCAGTGATGCATATAAGCAATGTAAAAACAAACTGTACTCACCTCTGGCCATCAGATTTAGGACTGAGTCGGCACTTAGCACAGGCAGGTTGTCACCTTGTGTAACAGTGTTGACAGCTGCTGAATGTGAGGAATCAACAGTCCTGAAGGAGCGGTACAGCTGCATCATGTACATAGGGTATCTGATGCAATGACTATGCGATAGATTTCTGAACGCTACACTAGTCTTGAGGCCTGTGTGATGTCTGTGGCTCTGAGTTGAGAAAACCACTCCAAAAGAGCAAAGAATTATCATCAGGACTCTAGTTTCCATTTTAAGTGTCACTCACAAAATCTATGCCAACAAGAATGGGAGCAAAGATCGTCCTTCCTTCCTCCAGCTGGTCTCAGGCTGAAATGATGCTCTGTGCAGATGGAGCTCCAGACAGGCTTCTTTATAGTGGACAGCTGCCCTTTGATGACCCCTGGCCACTCCAGGCATGTGAACAGCCCCTCTGATCATCAGAGCACATCAGAGGGCCAGAAAAAAGTAGACTTAGCCAAGGTCATTATCCTGTCAAGCTGCCTTGTCTTTTAATATTCATTCAGGAGCCTAATCCTTTTCAAATGTAAAACTCTAATAATGAATAATACCAAATCTTGTACCGTCATTGGCACCATTCTGTTTAGCAGCATTAGCAAACATAATGGTTGTAATGTAACATTTCAAAAATACAAGAATAAAGTACAATCATTAAAATCATCATAATAAAAACACAAAAAATAAAATTCTTTAATTTATTAACAAAAAAACAAAACAATTACACTATCTTTTGTGGTCAGTCAGGAATGTGTTATACAGTATCATGCACAAAACTGATCTTTTGTAAACTTTATTTCTTAATGGTCAAAGTAGTGATGTCAGAGATTCAAGTTTATAACATCTACATTTAACTGAGATGTGATTCAGTAACTTGGATATGTGAATTTTTAGAGGGAAAGAAAGAGTTAAGATTAAGTTGAATAAACAGTACAGTAAAAGAAGTAAATGTAACTAACCAGTGACACGCAAACAACAAAAACTGTAACAATTTAAAAGTCTTGTAACAAGTAGCACATTCATATATTGACAGAACTCACTCTGTGTTTCATGTTCTGGAGACACTGCAGCTCATCAAAAAAGAGAAAACCTTTTATGCTACTTTAGATTTTCTTCACCCTGAGAGGCTAATATGCCATTATATGTCAGTTAACACACTTGTCTGCGTGAGGTCTGAGTGGTCTCATTGGATTCTGACTGTTGGTGGTAGTTGACAACAGTCTTCTTATAAGGCACTGAAGAAGTTCTTCACCTGTGTAAGAAAACATATTTTAGGATCACAAACAAGAAACGCATCAAACATCAGATCAGAAAACAACTGTGTCAGTGACTTTTCATTAGATCAAAGACTGTGGGGATGACCACATATTACAACAGCGCCCTCATGTGGTGGTAGTTTAGGCACAGCAGCTATTAGGTCAGAGTGCTGTACAGAAAACCAACATACCATTGTAATAAATTGCTCCTGCACCTCTCGGTCGGTCTGAAACTCCACACCGGCATCCAGTTGTAAAACGGGTATCTGTTTCAACTTTTCAAAATGTATTCTGAAAAGAGAGAGCCAAGCTGCGTTACACTGTGCTAGTCCCCCAGACCAAACACTGCTGAACATCACCTATTCACAGCTGAACAACAAAGAGCTGTGACAGGAGTCTAATACGAGAGCTGCCCCACTGCTGGTCTTATTCATTTAAGCTTTAAAATGTATTTTGTTTTAGCAAATTTACAGGTCATAACAGCTTAACCCCCACTTTTAATGTAAATGATTTATTGCATGTAAAAACTGCACATTTCTGCATTTACAGATACCTGCTTATAAAGGTGCCAAAATAACGATGAGTCCTCCATAACTGCTGTAAAGAATCACTTCTAAGGTCATATTGAGAGGAGCTTAAAAAGGTTATATTTTACAGGTCACAGGAAATATTCAAAAGTCTGAAGCGGTCAAACACCCATGTGATCTCATTACCACTCACTCAGTGCTTTTCTTAATAAGCCACCTCTCATGCTGAATGTGAAGTTTTTCTAGATAGTCCAGTTTTACGCCCTTCTCCTCTGGCCTTCCTCGCTGCTCCAGACGCTCCATGCATTTCTGAGAGATAAAATTACAATTTGCACTGTTATGTGAAATAGAACAGCAAAACTAAGATCTATCTGTATATGAAATATTAGATGTGCAAACCTTTGGTGGGGCACTGAGGTAAATGATGCCCTCGAGCTCCACCTGGTGTCCAAACTGCTCCACCAGGAGAGAGTGCCAGTCCTGGTAGACTGCCCACTCTGTAGAGTTGATGCAACCCAGCTCAAACATATTGAGAGCAAAGATGTATCTGTGAGAAAAGTCATGCAAACAATGTAAAGAACAATGCCTTCACTCAGTAAGTTAATTAAATAACTACACATTTCAATTCCATACCAACTTTATCCTAAGAAGACAATAGCACCTTCTCACTTATATGCAATGATTATGGGTCTTGTAATTAAAGACCCCAGAGACATTATTTCATTTTCACCTTCTGTTCTGCTCCTTGTTTTCTCTTACTCGCTCACCTGTCGCTGTACACCGAGCGCTCATACACCTGGACAGGTGATCCCTCTGAGTTGAGCAAGCGAGCTGGAGGAGGCTGCAGCTGCGTTCTCAGTCGGCTCATACACGAGTATGTCTGAAATGTGTACGACCAGCGCAGAGGGTCCTGGTACATCATCTGCAGCAGGTTGCTGACCGTCTGTGAGGATGCATCTGTCCCCTGTCAAAGACACAGGCAGAGATAGACAGTTGGTCACCACTAATTTTTTTTTTTTGCGGTAAAACATGTCGAGTTCATGAAAGGTGCTTACCCTCGAGGTCCCACTCTCAATGTTCTGCCACTTGCTGACAGGTTCTGCCATCACCTCCCAGTCTGGACAGGCTGACTGCAAGAGTCTGGCAAACGTGGACTTTCCAACAGCTGAAATTTAAGAACACATAACATAAATATTAGCAACACTTTACAGTCATGTCAAGTTAGATGTAGGCTATACTGTATGTACAAGCTGAAATACTTGTGATCTTACCAATGTTGCCTTCGATAGAAACTCTCTTCACGCGAGCTTTTCCATCTTGAGCTGAAGCTTTACTTGACAGACACCTTGGACAACAAGAACTGATCTTGTCTACCCTTCTAGCCATAGTAATTACACTGTTCGCTGCCCGTGTTATTACTGTGCTGCTGCCGGGTGTCTTCCGCTGTGGAAGAGGCGCAATATGCCCAAGTCTGATGACCTGTGTCAAACCTGTTATTCTTTTAAATGTGGAAAGACGACTGAATAGAACGCATCGAAAGACGACAGACATCCTCGCGGGTATGTGTACCTTTACAAGGTTTCTCACATTTATCTGCATTTGGCTTAGTGCTCGCTAACGTTAGTAAGCAGTTACGTATTTTCACATTACCGCTGGGTTCATCTCATGGGAGTTAGCTAAAAAAAAAGCAGGAATTTTCGTGAATGATACATTCATAGATGAATATCCAAACGTTATATTTATAAACACCGTTATATGGGCTAGGTTGTTTTTGCAGCATTCACACATTCGTGTTTCTTATATTTGCTGCTGGTAACTTACGACTGATGTTAAATGCGTTACCAAAATGCTACAAACAATAGCAAAATGTACTTCCTCCTCCTCCGTCTTCGTATGTTATTCATTGGCGGTTTGCAAGCCAACTTAAGGTGCATTAGCGCCACCTGTTGAGCTGGAGTGGCAAAAGATTTGCTTCCGGTACATGCGATAGATATCTATCTATCTATATAAATCGTAGTTAAACCAAGTATCCCGTATCATAAATACATGCCTGGGATTTGTAGCTAACCAAACCGTTGGAAAATCGATTGTAAATATAACAAGTTATAATGAATTTAATTGTGGCGAGGCGGGCTTGTATTTTTCTACACATATGAAGGCTATCTATTGATTTCATACACTTGTTTAAACACTCACTGATTGCATTGTGCATTCATAAATACAGCAGTTCCAGATGGTGACACATGAACGTCTGGCCGTAAACCCGGAAGTACATGTGATCTCCTCTCCTAACCTATTAAAATCTAGTCTTAAGCTCTAATACTAACTGATTTCCCCCTATGGATGAGGTCAAGTGCTTGGTTACTGTCAAGGCAGAAATTCAGTTGACATAGCTTTTAATTCATTAATTCAATTTTAATTTACAAATAACTATATGAATTGGTAGTATGAATTTTCAAGATTAAAATCTGATTAATTTTCAGCTTCATATTTATAGGCTATGTATTGAGTGTACTGCTCAAAGATACCTGCTCTTGTTATTGACTGGTTTGGACCATGTCTCTTTCTTATTTGTAAAAGAAAGCGATCAAGAAACTCACAATTTATTTACACTTCTTCCAAATATTTTCATAATCCCTTATGGCATTTAAGTTACTGTAAACAGCAGCACAGATATTGCCACATCATAATGAGGTGCTTATGTCAAGATGAGTTACACTCATTTTTGATTAACAAATAAACTAGTTCAGGCGGCATAGTGGAGCAGTGGTTTAATTGCCCATGTTACCTTTTAAAGAAATCTATATATCTAATATTTGAATCAACTTGTCACTCCTAATTCATATTTTGTTTGTAACAAAAACAAACCTATAAAAAGTTTTCATTTAAATAAAAACATTACAACCATTTTTATTTGCTTAAAAATCAGTCACACTTTTTGTAATACATTTGAATGAACATTTAATGCTCATTGAACAATCCATTATTTAAAAAAGATTTACAATTTACATACTCAAGATAGAATATTCACAGCCAAATATTGTCATTTTGTTCTAAAGTATAATCAGTGGTTAAAACAACAAAAGGCTAGGAAAACTCAACAGTGAACTGTTTTTGATCATCATCACTCACTGTTGCGTTAGCAGTGACCGACTCTTAGTAGCTTGTGTTTTTGATAGTGATCTTTTGAGCCACCTCAATCTTGAAATCGTTGACACCTGAGGGAGCAAACCAGCATTTTTCATTTTTATTAAAATGAAATTAAAGCAGCAGATCAAAGAAATAAAGAGAATGCTCTGTTACTGAGTCATGACATAATATAGTGTGTGTGTATGTGTATGTGTATGTGTCCTCACCCTGACTGAGTGCAGTGCCGTCAGAGGAAATGTGCCAGTATCGGCGGTCGATCTGCCTGGCCTGCTCTCCATTCACCACACTTAAGAAAGGTCCCCACAGGCTGGGTTCTTTCTCAAACCTGCCAAACAGGATCAAATATTACTCAACATATATAGGACTTTTAAAAAAGATATAAAAAGCTGAAAAGCACAAATGAACTCACGTGAAGCCAACATTATTCCCCTTAAGAAGTTCAAGGGCCTCCAACAGAGAGCTGCCTTTTGGCACGTCCACATAGTAAAGAGCAGATGCCCCGCTTGACATAACCAATTCCACAGCCACAGTCACTTTAGCTTCACTTGGTAAAACCACCACAGGATCTACAGGCTCCAGCACTAAAGTATCTGTAGGAAGGCACACACCATGACAAAAAAGAGTGACAGTACAGGCACTTAACAGTGACTGCAGAAGGTAGAAATAATGCTCCACATACCATCCTCATTGAGGCACTGCATGCTTTTTATTGACAGGTAGGATTTCTGCTGGAGAGCTGGCAGGAGCTGGGATATGGCCATGGGGTTGTGGTATGTGTTGTTTCTGGCATCTGTCCTCATGGCCTCCATTGAGGCAGCACACTCTTCAATCTGGCTGCCCATTGCCAACAGGGCCTTTTATCACAACAACATACAGATATAAGATGGCAAGTTTTTTTTCTATAAGGTTTCATGCAGTGAAAGAGTAAAGGGGAGCTGAACCAAGCATAAGGGAAATATCCTTACTTGAACTGCAAGGCCTGTGCTGAATTCATTACCAATATGACCATCAGTCCTATGAGAGGCCTGAAGCTTCTGCTTGATGTTGCTAAGGGCTGTGTTTAGCTCAGCAGCATTGTGCACATGAGAGTCAGCGTCCTTCAGACACTGGAGTGCCATTCCAGCCATGGCATAGGTATCTAGGAGAGGGAGTAGGATATAATATGCATATCTCTGACAGACGGAGGGAGAGAACAAACCTAGGAACTGAACTAGTACAGAGTGGGGTTGTTGTGGTGTTAACCCTTTCATGCATGACTAATGAGAAAAGTGATCAAGATTGTTTAAAGAACATTTTTATTATTCAAAATTGTGCTACGACTGAAATCCATTTTAGGTGCATTTAGTGAATTTAGGTTTACAAAGCACAGAAAATGGTCATCGCACTTTCCTGTGAATGGCAATATTTTTTCGACCTGCTTTGACCTTTTTGATCAGAAGGTTTTCACTGATATACCTGAAGCATTTAGCACATCACCACCATCAGCCATCTTGGATTGAGGGTGTCAGGAATCATATTTTTTGGAACACATGATGGTAACTATTGTTACAATATTGCTATGGACATACTAATACTGCCCAAAATTGAGTTAGATTAACTGTACATGAACATGGACACCATGCATGAAAGGGTTGAGAACTGAGGCTAAGGACTATGCAAGGACCCTACTGAGGTTGCCTGTTTTATATTTGATGGTAGGCTATTTTGTAATTCTGCGGCATAGATGAGAAAGTAGCATCTCCAGTGTTTTATGAGTGTGATGCTAAAAGAGCAGTTGTGAAACTAAAGATCTTAGAGCTCTTACAGGAGTATATGGATTAAAAATGTCACATAAATGGGCTGGATCTAAACAATTTAGAGCTTTATAAACTAATAAAAAGACCACTTCCAATTCTTTTGCACCCCAAACCTTAATTCTGGCAAGTTTTTATTAGATGATCCCCTGGATAACAAGTTATCCATCTCATGTTTTGGGTGCACATAATTTTGCTAAATTAACTGAGATAAATAATTGTGATTGTAAAGTAGATTATCATACATCTATAATGCAATTTGTGGATTCTGTTTAGCATATGATTTCAAATGCATCCCCATCTGCATATCATTTTATAAGGGAAAAAAAGAAAATATTTAGCCAGTTTCACTCACCAGTACTCTCAGAGTCTCCATGTTTGAAGTGCTCATGTTCTACTGCCTTGATGAGCTTGTTGCTGACATGGCTGTTGACCCTGATGCCGCTCACGCAAAGAGTGAGCACACCCAGAGAGTACTGGTAATAGTTGGTTAAAGGGCGGTTGGCAACTGAAAAAAAGAAGAAGAAATCAAATTATGTTAAACATGACTACAGTAATGCTCAAGTAATTAAAAGTAACCTTACTTTCTTCAGCGCTGCTACATGTATCTTAAGTAGATTCATTATTATTAAGATGGCCTGTATAATAATTCCAAACAGCCTTTTTTGAGATTTGACACTACAGTACATACATGTCCTTGGGATTCCTTTCATGCTAGATCAACTTTGAACCCATTTTGTAGCACAATGTAAAACAGGATGATGAACACTTTTTATGACAACCATTCACCTCTAAAAGGAAAACTTACTGGCAATATGATCTTTTTCTCCTTCCATCTGCTTCTTCAGGTGTGTCAGCAGAATCTCACTCTTCTCACCAACAGTGAAGGTGACTGTGTTGAGGTCGTAACAGGAGGACTTTAAAGCCAGAGCATACAACGCCAGGAGGCCGGTCACAGGGCGGCTGTTAACGAGAGAGCTGTAAAAAATACGCAGGAGACTAAAGTTTAGGTGTGAACATTACGGAAAAGATCAATTCAGTGGGTGGACGTACATAGACAATTTTGAAGAATGAGCATTTGTAAACTTTGCATTACTTTTGTAAGTCATTGTGCAAATTATTTTTCAGTCTATCCAGGTGTTCGCTCTCCTTGGCAAGGTTGTGGTAGTTAGAAAGTCGTAATGCCAAGTGCACACTGGGATTGGGGAGTCCTTCCTGACCATCCAGAGCACGAAGGAGATTCTTATTGAGTGTCAGGAGCAGCTCGTTGTTGGATCCATTGGTATCTGAATAAAAAGTTTAAATAGCTTTAAAAGAAAAAGTCACTCAGAAATTTTTATCAGAAATGAAAACACAGATGTATATAACTGTCTCTTGAGATCAACATTAACTTCCTAAGAATTGCAAAACCAGAACTGCAGCTTCAGCAGTTCCAAGAGGAAACAAAGATGGCAGAGATTTAATAATAATAAAAAATAGACTCATTGCCTGCACTGAAGGCCAAAAACGTACTACCATTTGAAAATTGCACAACATTTGTCAATTACAAAATGAGGTGAATGTCCAAACCAGTGAGTCAGTTTATTTGCACAGTTAACTTACCACATGGTTTACCAGAGGCAAACGCCACTAGGCTCATAATGACGAAAGATAGCATTCTGGATAACCGGTTGGATAACACAAACACTGAAAATAAACCAAATTTTATACATAGCAGTATATGCATCGATGTTGACTAAATGTAATGAAATCGTTATTATGGGCTAATAGCGGTTTAGTAATTAGCTTGTAAGTTATTTAAAGTTTGCACTAAACAACATTTACCTTCCCAGAGAGAGACTCCAGTGTGAAATGTCAGTGCTGAGTACCGACACTGACACAACAGCTTCAGCTTCACTGTCACATGACTCGTCATTTGAGATGACAAAGCCATGAAAAAAAGCAACATAGTCCCTTTAAATATCAGCTGTGGGTCGGACCTTAAATAGGACGTTACAGAGAGTCATCTTGTTGACCATAAGTAGTCTTTGATAGAAACGACACAAGAAACATGGGGCTAAATTATTCCACACTTTATCATCTTCGGGTACGTGCCCACGCCGGCTTTGTGACATTTTCGAATAAGGTAACTAAAACTGGTATTAACTTGTGATGGCAGATGAAGTCTTTTGACGAACTGGGGCTTTCTTTCTATGGTGTTTGTGCTGAAAAAAAAAGATTTGAAGTTTTGGGACTTCAAACAAAGCAAGTACAGGGACATCTGGTGGCAGCCCCTCCGATGACCCCAGTGTGGTAAATGTCCCATAATGTGATGTTATTGGAGAATATTTTTGCAATTATGCTTTTATTATATTTTTACTTGGTGCCTATATTGAAGTGTCATCATAAGACATGTCTCTTTAGTGCACAGCACTGTATTTCTCAGTGGTTCTCTCTTTTTATTAGTGCCACAAATCGGAAAAAGTTGGGATGGTAAGTAAAATCATGACAATACAGCAGCACATTATTTGATGTGATACCTCATCAGTTTTATTCTTTGTTCAAGACAAACACTCACTTCAGTTCTGATGTCTGCAACACATTCCAAAAAAAGTTGGGACAGCAAAGCGTTTACTACAGTGTGATGTTGCCGTTTCGTTTCATAACACTTAAAAGATGTTTAGGGACTGAGGACACCAAGTGATTAAGTGTGTCAGGTGTAATATTGTCCCATTTTTCCTGCAAACAGGAAATCTTAACCGCGTTTTATCACAAGCAAGAGTTTGTAGTAGGGAGTTTGTCTACAGGAACTACAATTCCCACAATTCATCCGAGGCAACTTTCTAGAATCCTGACGCATATTTTAGCGCGACTCGCTTTTTAAGAATAGCTAGCTAACGTCCACTTACCCCGTCCTATATTTCAGAGAATTAACGTCTAAGGCGTGTTAATTTTGGTCCATTTTTGTTCGGACGAAGCATTATAATATTAGGTTAGTAGGGCTTGAGCCTTTTGCTCCGTGCTAATGAGATTATTTCAATGGAAAACAACATGAACCGAATGGAGGAAAGCTATCAAAACATCAACATCCACAAATAAAAATACAAGGGCAGCACTGCTGCGCAGGTTGGACTGTATCACTATCTTCCATGTTTCTGCTTATGATATTATTTATTGCACGTTATAGTGATATTCATTGTTATTCATAAGGTCACATTAACAGAAACTAACATTCAGCATTGGCGTTGTAGTTAAATTGATGACCATCCAGCTGCCCCAGTTGTAAACCAGTGACTTGCGGTCAGGGGAGGCAGGTGAGGCAGGTGAGGCAGAGCCTCCCTTGAAAAGAAAAAAAAGTTAACCATAAAATATAATAAATGTTAATATTTGTCGGCTGGTGTGTGTTGTAGGCCCTTTTGCCGTTCGAATCCGATGTTGAAGGAATTTTTTT